TAAAAGCAGTGACCAGATTAAATATCGAAATTAGAATAATAAGTTAAGAGTCAAATGACAATGATATTTCGATAGCTCAGACTAAGAAAGTATGATATACATATAATATAATTTGAATCATAGAAAGTATGTTTTATCACAATTTTGCTTAGTAAGTCGTTTATTTAATATATATTAGTAGATAGTCAACAATTCATGTTATATTTTTATATAGTCTAATTCAGTACATAAGCAGTGTAGATCATTTGAAAGTCACATATACCAACAATTAAGGCAATGAATGTGTTATATTTTATAAATATAGATGAAGATATTTATGATTCATTATGTGTTAGTTCTTGATAGTATTTTTTTAGTTGGATACAAGAGTTGTATCTAAGTGAAACAGTTGTTGCTTGAGTTTTTATGAGTGTAACATAGTTTTCTGATTCTAAAAATAGGCTACTTCTTAATTGCGGACAAAATTTCAGCCCTCACCCACACTGTCGGCATGCTAATTGGTTTGATTTTCGTCCGCAATCAAGAAGACACGCAATATTCATCGACTCGAATTGCGTCTAATTAATTTAACCTTTTGATAGAGATTCATGTTTGAAAGCTTTAACTATCATACTAAATTGCAGAAATAAATATTAGACTGTAATGACCTATTACTCTATATAACAAGACTTCTCAGTTGATTTGTAAACTTATTAAAATATAAACTACAGAATACTCTTTTCACTGTTATAGGTATCGACTCTTATATTTCAATTCATAATATTTTTTTCATTTGTGTTCTAATTGATATGGGCTATATAATTTATTAGTCTATCTTATTTGAAAAAAGAAAATCGGACGACGCTGAAATGATCTTGACGTGCTTGATTAGTTCAAAATATGATGAAATTGAGCTCGTATTTTTTTTTCTAGTAAAAATTATGAGGAAATGATCTCGATTGGTTATGTTAAAGAGAAAATGGAAACGTAGTATCGTAGTTCATGTGTTTACTAATAAACTGAGTACAGTATTATAATGAAATACAATAATTTTATATTTATAAATATCTAATACAAAATATATATATAAAGGTATATGCAAAATCAGTCCTTTAACAACGAGTATTTCACCTTTTTTCTTCGTCTTTTCCGTTTCTTTTTCCAATTAACTGTGGAGTTATTCGAACTCTATAGATCATCATAAGACTTGTTGAATGAATACACGAATATTGCTTCAGATTATATTTGCACGAACAGAATATTTGGAGGTAAAATATTAGGAAAATTTAAAATTCGTGCTACGTCCAACTACTGTTTAAAATGATCATACGATAACCAAAATATTGAATAAAAATAGTGTATCCACGGACGAGTAGTCATTTGAGGCTCTGCTACTGGAACCACAAATGTAAATGCATCTAACTGTAATAATTCGTTTTCAAGAACTTTATAAATCCAATCATAAGCATTAATCTCGAGATCAACATCGATGTTTCAATATATAGGAAATAAATGTTGTACTGTATTCATTGACCAATCGCTCAACGTATCATCAGATGAATCATTTTTACTGTTTTATTCATTTTTTTCTATTCATCATATACACTAGTCTTTATATAACCATAAGTACATATATGTAGAGTCAACCGAGATCTTTTCCACAAACTACGTTGGTTCAACGTTAATGAGTGTTTTTCCGAGATCATATTCTCACTTTTTCCAAGAAAATCTTTCCATCATCTTGAAACAATTCTAAGTATTTGAATTGATAAGAAAATTTCGAATATTGATTTTTTTATGTCATATAAGATCCACAAGTTTAGTTGATAATCATCTTCATTATTTTGCATGTCGCGTTGTATGAAATAGGCTCAAATAATAAGTCAAATATCCCGCAGCTTGAAAGAAAATTTTATTTGTTGTTTTCCAATTTTTATCTGAAGTTTTGCGCAGATGTGTGGATCTATAAATGGGTTTAGTTTCATTAATGTAGATATGAGTAACTATAACTTCTATTATTTATAATCGCCTCTATAAATGGAAGAATACAAGAATACTTTTATCAAACAATACTTATATTTGTTTGTGACCAATGTTACAAGCAATCTATTTCCTTTTCTGTCTATCATTCCATAACAAAATTACCATGACTAGAATGAATAAATTAGTTCATATATGAAAGAATTACTATAAGTTTATTGTCACCATTGGCATCTTTTCTGTTTTATTTTCATTAATATTCAATACACATGTACGATTAGATGAGAACAGATCTATCTGACATTATATCAACAAAGGTAGACACATAAGAGTATGTGAATTATGAAATATAATGTGATTGTTAATTACTTTCTCTTGGTAGTTTTATGTATCCTAAAATAACTAATCAAAAGCGTAGATGAATTCTGATTACTTGCTCTAGTTTCGCTTTTCTTTTCTGTTCTGTTCTTTTGTGTATCATCTCTACTTAAGTTATAATGTCTTCAACTGATACCTTCCGTTTAAAGTCATAGTTAACATGATTATCCTAATTACATTCATGTTCTTAAGTTTTTTCTACTTGAGCTATAGACATTTTGTTGAACTTTCTGCATATTACCGGACATTATGAAAGAAATTGCAATAATGAATTTCCGTCTGAAACTTTTCTCAATAGTAAATGTAATGATATTGATTATATCTTGAAAGTTTCATCTCAAATGAATGTTTCTCATCCGAAAGAAAATGGTTTAAAAAAAAAACGTGACTTTCTCATAAAAACTCTAAAAATAGCATATTTTTAAATATATATATATCTTGAAAAAGCTTATTGGTGCAAACCCTTTGAGCCTGAAATGTGGGATTTACACATGTTCTCTATCTCCTGTAGACTACCATTGCTTCTGATGATAATCAAACATCAGAGTAAGAATCTTGCTGATTCCTGCATTTTAAACAGAAATTGTTTCTTTTGTCTTCGCGCGCTCTATTTTCTGCCTGCATTCTTCCTATTCGCTCGTTATTTTTCATGTTTTTTTTAATTAAACATTCTTATTATTATAATCATTAAATTAATCGATGAATGAGTCTATGTTAACCCCCCCCAGAATAAAAGGGCATGCCCTTATACAGTGTCTTGGCACATCGCTACTTGTTGGGTGGCCTTCTATTGGGGGTCCATTTTTGGCCAGTTTTTAATTAAAATAATTTAAAAAATGAATAATTAATTAATATCTTTCATTATTGTTTTTTTAGGTGTTTTTTGCTGAAAAAACTACCATGTTTTGTAAAAACTGTACTATTTATGATAGGAAAGGAAGGATTTCGCAAAAAAACATTAGAAAATCGGTTCTATTTCCTTAATTATTAATTAATATTTATGAAAATTTCATTAATTTTGGAATGTATTAATTAATTAGTACATGGCCTTCTACTAACAGGGCGTTTGAACTTTTGCTCGGACATGGCCTTATACAGGGGATGGCCTTCTAATATAGGGTGGCCGTCTATTTGGGGGGGGGAGGAGTTACAGATTTTATGCACTATTGTGTATTAATCTACTTGCAAATAATAATGTCGACTATTTTTCAGAATTACAACTTGATCGATTTTGCAAAAGAACTCTAGAAATTTTAAAGCTTTTCATTTTCAATTGCCGAACTCTGTAATGGGGGAGAGGTAGGGAGAGCCGCTAAACCTGGTGTTAAGACTTACACTTAGGAGCTATAAGAGACGAAGCATAAGACATAGATGACAAAGACGTTGACTAAAAGCTGGACTAAATAGAAAAAAAACTGATTATTTATGGAAAACATGGCGATTATGGCAGTATTATGATTTATTATCATAAATGAAAAGATTCCGCTCAACACACGTAGAATCACTGTTGAACATTTTAGTTTAAGTTGTTTACCAGTGTCTATAACAGCGTGTCTCGACTTTTTATCAGATATTATTTATTACTTGACTCTTATTGATAATATTTAATTATACTCAAATTTCAAACTATTTTAATACTAAAAACTATAGGCAATTTTAATTTGAGAATACACGAGAGCTATGTAAATTACTTTACACATTTATTAATTGTGATATAAATCATATATCATACATAGAATGGTTTATAGTTGGTACACGAATTATTTTGCTACTTGTATCCTTGATGATATATATTAATAGACAGAACTTTCTTGAACCGATCCAATCTCTTATCTATTCGGATTTTCTATCAAGTTCTTCTTGTTCGTTATTTATCAGTTGATTCGGCGTACTCTTTCTATTCTAGAAATTCTATTGATTATATATACATATATTATAAAATTTTTCAATCATAACATCATATCAACATCTTCAAGGTATGGAAAACGCCGAACAATTCAATCAATCTATTACTAATCACCAACCATATGATGGATCTATGTTCGGGTATTTACTACTTCTTTTCGTTTTCTTAACTATCAGACTACAACTATATTTGGTTATATAAGACAAAAAAAAGGAAAATAACTCTATTGAAAATTGTTTTCTATGATAAATAAAATACGTAAATTATTTGCATAATATTTGATTTATGTTTGCTATTAGAATGGTTTTTTTTCTCTAGTTGTCATAAGACTAACTTTGAACAATGAGTTCAAGAGACAACACATGAGAAAAAAGTCTATCAACACGATAAAATAGATGTAGTTTTGAGACAACTATATATGCATTGATAAACATAGTTACTAAACCAATTAAGATTGATTAAGTTCCAAATCAAGCAATATCCTATTTCATTATTTTCTATTTTTTTCATCATTCATCTTAAATAATTGAATATTAGGAAAAGTAGTTCATATTGTATTCTATGTAGCCAAATATATCAAATTAAGTTGATATATTTAATTTTTAACTTGATAGAAAAAAAACCCCAAATTACATTTAGTATTTTATAAATGTAAAATATAAATTGCTGAATTTTTGTATGTAAAATATATGAAAATATAAGTTATTACGTTTGAATCTCTGTTGAATTAAAATGGGTTATCTATGAGAACGAATTGCTATTTATGAGATACAGGTATGATCTTATGAGTTCCTATTCATGCCATCAAGAAGATAAATATAATAATTGATAAAAAAATAAGGTTTTTGTTCGATATTAAACGAGAAAAGTTGTTCCTATCATAATTATTGTTACGAAAATAAATGCTAAAATAATTCACATTTTTAAGAATAGAAAAAGGATAAATATTTCTATTCTTATTTATTATTTATTATGCCCCATATGAACATAGTTTGATATAGCTTCTTCATTCATAGGTAGAAAGAGAAAAAATCTGTTTCGTTTTTCTTATTGTTATTTTTATTGTCAGAATTTTACTACTCACTTTTCAACGTTTATATTAACAGAAGTCAATGAATGAATGCAGCCATTTGTATGATATTGCAATGTATTACTTATTTTTTTTTGTGAAAGATCGATTTCTACGATTCTATATAATTATTATAGTCAAAAGACATACAAAAAAGAGAGAGAGAATAGAAATAACATATACCAAAAAATTGTCACAAGAAGTTTTTCCTTGATTATACAAGTATGGACCTGTTCATGGTTTCATGTAGGTACTATTTTTGAAAAATATTCACGTTTTATTCTTCTGTAGAAAAATAGATATGTAGGAAAAAAACAAAATAACACTAATTATATATTAAAAGAAATTCATGAGTAATATTTTAAACTTGACTAAATAATAGTTAGTATAAGAATATGGTTAGGAATAAAGATTAGTGTACCATCTAAAACAGCTATTCACATAATGAATTTTTGATGTTTAATTTAAAAAAGGATAATTAGGAAAGAAAGTCAACACATCGAATAATTATCGTAATGTAATTGATAATGATAAAGGCCTTTACAAATGTACTAAGAGTCTTATATCAGCATTATTGTAACAAAGATTTCTGTAACAGAAATAGTAGCTTCATCATACCATTCATTAGAAAAAAACCAGTCAAAAGCTAGTTAATGACAAACATATCGACAAAGAATATTTCTTTTTTATCTTCACTTTTCTTTAGAGTCAAGTGAGGATATTGATAATTGTAATAATTAAGCAAAAATAACATGTTCAATATAAAATGTAAATAAAATATATATTTCCTACTTAAAACAAATAAAAACATAAACAAATTAGTTGTTTAAGTCTATTAGTTTTAATTCTCGCTAATGCAAATTTGTTTGGCACAAAACAAAAACAATAGAAACAAGAAATGCATTTCTTGGATATTTTTCACTTTTCTTCTATCATTATAACAATTCTTATTGCAGAATAGATCCATGAATATTTTCATTTAGATCAACAGATGTCACAGATAACGAGCCATTACCAGAAATATATAAATGTTCATTACAAGCTCGTATTTTTACATCTACTCATTCAACTTTTAAATCAATTGAGTCAACATATTTACGTGTACTTATAGGACCAGGCATATTACTTAATTTACTTTGTCTATTTATACTTTCTCGATCAAAATTATCAAATAAATCAACTACGATTCTATTTTTACGTGTTCTTGCTCTTTTTGATATACTATCAATTGTACTTAAATACATTCGAGCAGAAATGAATTATCAATCACTAGAAAAAGGTCATGAGATATTTTTATTAATTCCATCAGTTTGTAAAGCATTATATGTATTAATGAATGCATGCATTTCAATTGGTATGTGGACAGTTGTTTTTATGAGCTTGTAAGTCTCTTTTTTTTTTACATATTTTTATAGTTATAAGAAAATACAAGTACATAACATTAATATTTTTCTTTTGTAGAGATAAAGCTGTCGCTGTTAGTTATCCACTTAAATCACGTATATGGCTTACCAACAAGCGAGTATATCAGATCTGTTGTTGTACGATTATTATATTGTCGCTTGCCAATTTCTCGTACATTAGATTATCGGATATACGCCTGGAAATAAATAATCGAAAATACTGTGGATTAAGTGACGTTTCTTTTATTGTTGATATGATTACTGCGTCAATTTTACCTATGAGTAAATATATTTATTTAACATATCTTTATTGATTTCATCAACGAGAATCTGAATAGAACAAAAACTAGAGATAATTTCAAGTTACAATGTAATAGGAAGTGCAAATCGGAATATAAAAATATGAGCATTATTTGATGAAACTAGATAATTGAACATTATTGTTTGGAGCTCTGAACAATAGTAATGGTGACAATTTAATGAGAAAAGTCTATGATATCAGTTTTGAGAGTGCTGTACTAGAGAGGATTTTCCTCTTTTGAAATGTTTTTTCATTTTTCTATTATTAGAAATGATGCGTCACAAGAAATCTGCTTTGGGTAAAGAATTTTTGATTGTTTTTTTTTGTCATTAATATGACTGCTAGTACCATGTTCTAAAATTTTTGTCTATAATTATACAATATTTATTAGACAAATAATTTCATGATTTTTAAATAAGAAATGAATTAAAACAATAAACAGAATATTCATCGTACTTATTCAATAGTACTTATCAGCATAATTCAAATTGTTTCCATAAACTAAAAATTAAATGAATATTATTCAATCAAATCAGTTTCAATGAAAATTTTCTATTTTTGAATAGAGATCTCTAAGCAAGAAGTTTTTTGTCTTAACAGCGAACATCATGTTTTGTAAGCTGCTAAAGAAATTATAATATTTTGAAAAAAGAAATTATTTTTTATTAAAGAAATCATTTTAACTAAGGTTAATATTGTCTCTTAGAACTACTATGAGTATAATTATGAATCGTTAACATTGAAAACTGATAGCCATCATATAAAGATGCATCGATATTTTCATGTACACATCATAATCTTTATTATCATATTAGATAACCAACTTACAGCTATAAACGTATTTCCTTCAATCATCAGAATTGATAGCTATTAGAATTTTATTAAAACTCTTCAAAACTATTTACTAAATAAAACTTCATTAACAAATACAGTATATATTCTGGTTATGATTATATTCGTAATTATTAAAGAAATACATTTTCTTCGTTGTTTTTTCTTTTTTTTTGGAACGATAGATTAACATCAAATTTTCTTGCTAATCAATAGTTGAATGCAACTTTATATGTAATATGACAAAAACATTATTCAATAAATGAAATATTTACAAAAATTTAGACAAATATGTTGTTGATTAAGTCATTCTATTGTTAGACACAATTAAAAAATTCTAATCTTTCAAAACAAATCTCTCTATTTCTGAAACATTAATGTAATGATCTCATCCATTTTTAGGTCTTATTACAGCTGCTAATATTGTTATTGCAGTTGTATTACGTCGTACTTCACAAAATTGGCGAATATCTGAATATTCAAACAAACAAGAATCTGATTCAAGTTTTTCTAAAACAAATTTATCAAAACTATCACTTGGTCGACGTGGTTCCTGTAGTTCAACAAATATAGCAGCCGAAGCAATATTAGCTACAAAACGACGTACAAATGCACAAGTTACACGTATGCTTTTAGCTGTTACATTATCATTAATTATATTTAATATTCCTAATACAATATTTTTTGTTATCATTAAAATTTATATTGCACGAAAAGTAGTATTTTCTCTTCAATGTTTAGACGTTACCAATGGTGATATAACATTATATCACTGTCAATTTTATTTAAGTGTTATACAAAATATATTGTCGGATTTACCTCATGTGGTTAATTTTTTCTTATATTGTTTAGCTGGGAAAAAATTTCGAAGTATATTCATAAATGAATTTCATCAATTACTTGTTGATTTTCATTTAATTAAACAAAGAGAAAGATATCATACATATGACGCATCTATTTTGAATCCTGATTTAACACCAGATACAGGCTATAGTCATAATTTAGGACATGGATCATCAAAAAATTCTCTATCAAAATTATGAAAAAAATGTTCTAACCATACTTGATCGTCAAAATGAAAGTTTATCAAAAAAAAAACAAAATTTATTGATCTAATGATCATCAAACATGTGTTCGTTCTTATACAAGTAAACAATAAAATTGTGAGAATGTTGTCTAATTTTCATATGTTGTAATTATATTTTTCGTCTTGATTCTCTATTACAGTTTAATAAATATGTCGTATTATCGGAATTTGCTATTAATCTTATGAAATCATTTTGTCATCAAAAAAAAAAAAAAACTACAAAATAGATTTCTATTTCATATTCAATGATTAAATTAACCCATTCGACCCGATAGGTCCCACCGGTGTCCGGACAGAATGTCGCAGGACAAAATGTCGTATGGACAAATCGTCGCAGAACAAAATGTCGTGGACATATCGTTGCGGACATTTCGTCGCAGACAAAACGTCGCAAAAAAACGTTGCATCGACAAATCGTCGCACGGACAAAATGTTGCATGGACAAATTGTTGCAAGGACAAAATGTTGCGGACAAAATGTTGCGATACATTATGGTTTGAGATATCTACGATTTACCAACCAGTTTGATCGAAGATGATGATAAAAATAAAGAAAATTAGAAGAAAATACTACACTTTCAGAAAAAAACCGGACAACTGAACTGAAGCCCAGTTCACTTATTTGTAAAGTTCCTAAAGACTTTTCATTGCTATAAAAGGGTTTTTAGAATAAGTTTCATAGACTCTCTTCAAGAAATAAAAGTTTTCAATTTACTCTAAGTATTCGTATGTTTTTATGAAACAGTTTCAAAACGAGAACATTGGAGATTCCTGCCATTATATGTTATAAAGCCTTGAAAAGTACGTAGAAGATTTGGATCTCTAAGACTCCAGTCTTTTGAAGACTTTAAGAGTCTTCTGAAGTCTTGTAATCTTAACGTCTACTGTTACTATAGAAGAGTTTATGTTGTCCATCTGAATTTACAAAGTCTCAGACACAACCCTTCTGATGGATGTTAAAGGAAACTTTGATTTACTTTACAAGTGAACTGGGCTTCAGTTCAGTTGTCCGGTTTTTTTCTGAAATTGTAGTATTTCCTTCTAATTTTCTTTACTTTTATCATCATCTTCGATCAAACTGGTTGATAAATTGTAGATATCTCAAACCATAATGTATTGCAACATTTTGTCCGCAACGTTTTGTCCTTGCAACAATTTGTCCATGCGACATTTTGTCCGTGCGACGATTTGTCCATGCAACATTTTTTTTGCGACGTTTTGTCTGCGACGAAATGTCCGCAACGATATGTCCACGACATTTTGTCCTGCGACATTCTGTCCTGCGACGATTTGTCCATGCGACATTTTGTCCGCAACGATTTGTCCACGACATTTTGTCCTGCAACATTCTGTCCTAGCGCCAACTTCATTGAAGAGAATATATGACATTAGAATACGCTTACCAGGATAATTAGCAAAAAAAGCAGATTTTTTGTTTGCATGAAATTTCCGTGGTTATATCTAATTATTGCACTCAACTATGTTTTCTCACGAAACAACCATATGAATAAGTTAGAGTGGAACAAAGAGTAGTGGTTTTATCCTTCACAATTATTTAACTGAAGTAAAGGCGCTTCGATGTGCATGTGATTCAGAAATAATAGTTGCTAGACAGAGTCCGCTCAACACATGTGTGATTATGAGACTTTATTTCAATAATAAAAAATATTCTCTATTCAAAGTTTATCGCCTGATTCAACACATGTCCCTTCTTCGAAAGATTACACTACTGTTTTTGTCTTATGTCAAGGTAGTACTGGAAGAAAATTCTTTCAATTGTTTCTTTTTATTACTCACATGAAATATGGCAATGCGACACGTCTCGAGTTGGTACTTCGATGAGTTATATATGTTCGAAAAAAAAAAATTTTCGTCTTTTTGCAGACAGATTAAGGTTACTATTGCTTGAGTTACACTTTGTTGAAGAGAAAAGCCGATCATTCTTATGTACACATTCATATTGACATAACTCTCGCACAAGAAAGAAATGCGTTCAGACCAAAATACATGTATTCAAGAACAAACTGTCGTTTATAAAGCACATATATATCGAGAGCGCCTTCACTTGATTTGAACGCATGTAAAGAAGAAAACAAGCATACTTTGTCCCACTGTAACTTGTTCATATGGTTGTTTCGTGAGAAAATACAGATTACTCAAATAATTAGGAATAACCACAGGAATCTCTTGCAATCAAAAATGTTTTTTTGATAATTATCCTGGCAAGCGTATTCTAATGTCATATATCCTCTTCAATGAAGCCTGGATTCTGATTTTTCCCTGTTAATCTATCTAGGTTTTCTTCGAACATCAATTGAGTTCATTCTATAGTTCTCGATCTTGCTCGAAGAAATACTTCAAATTAATTATTAGACAACAACTCATTTCAGTAATTCAACAAGTAACTTGTTCTTCTCTTTCATATTACACTTCATTTTATATAGAATTTTGACTTTATCAATTTTTTCAACGTGTCAGTAAAAAGCAATTATTTGTGAACAAAATGCCATACTTATTCACTTATCTGTCTATCGTATTGACAGCACTATGAAATGTTTTGGAACTAGTCAAAGTGTATAAAAATTCAACAATAGCAGCATTTTATACTCCATATAAGCAAATGAACAAAAGGAGATTCTTTATTTCAATACTTCAAATATGACAACTGCACAGAAGAAAATATCAAAGTAAATGAACACCAAATATACATTGCGAGAAGTTTCAAAAGTTGAAATACGATACAAATGCTTTTTTTGGATCTTCTTTAACAGCCGACAGTCTTAGGTTGATTGCAAATTCTGTGAAGCGGATCAAAAACAGTGCCATCACCACAACTTTGCAAGTGTGGTTGACCATTTGAACAATGGCAACGTTCTGGGCTGCATGTCTTAAAAAACTTGATATTATTTCCTAATTTTGTACAAAATGTCTTATCACATTGTGGAGGAACAGCATACATCAGATACAGACCTTTGCCTAGATCAAACACTTGTCCTCGATATTGCTTGCGTATGTTAGTAATATTGGTGTTATTATTATTATAATACACAACTGTGGAATTTTTTGGTGCTAGATGGACAGCTTTTGAAATCGGTTCGTCAATTGGCCCAACGACGGTAAAGAAGAAAACACCCCCTTTACTTGCATTTAAACGTACTATTTCAAGGGCTTCAATGCCGTCTAGAGATGGGTCGAAACTGGGAATGCCAAAATATCCGTTGTACACAAGAATCTTTGTGGATACAATGAAGACAGTTTGTAGCAGAAACAAAAGTATGTAGAGAAGTTGTAAGTAAGTCATCATATGAAGTTTGTGTAGAAAAGTCTAAATAGAAATAGTGAAGAATACATTGAGACATTAGATACATTAGAAGTTGCACACTTAGAGTTAGAAATCACAACAACAACAACAACGAAAACAGATAGTTTGATTTGTACAGCTCATATCTTTTCAAAAGAGACGAAACCCATTTTCGTACCAAGTATGTACAAAAAAGTATTTTTCTATACAGGTTCGGTTTTGTCTTTTGAAAAGTTTCTTTGATATACTACGTTTCCATGCATATTTTAATTAGATCTACTGTTGATTGTGCTGATATATATCGCATGCCATATTGTGACTCACTAATATCCAAAGGGTGGTCAGTAGATAATTCGACTATAAAAATGTAAATATCTCTTCACATATCTGAATCTGCTTAGCTGATTTTTCTTTTCGATAATATAGATAAATTCAAGTTTTTCTTCTTAAAAAGACATATAACAAGTATTGTGATTAGCTATTATTATTGATTTCAATAAAAAAAAAAGATAACCTTGTATAAGTTATGCTAATCATCAAGTACACTGAGCTCTACCAGTTACTTTGGGAGAGAAAACATTCATTCATTATATAATTTCTATTTATTTAGACAAAAAAAAAGTTTAAGTTTTTGTTTTTATTTTTATCGTAAAATGAAAAAAATGAAAAATAGCCTTTCTAGGATAAACAAGAATTAATCTCGGCAAAATTTGTTTGACACTAGTTTCACAAAAATCAATTAATCAAGGTTATATTTACGTATTTGCTATGAAGTTGTTTGTGCTTTTATGTATGTTATTTGTTTGATGAATCAAAGCTTTGTAAATGAAAAAAAAAATATAGAATTAAATAACAAGATTACTTCTGTCCTACTTGGGATCTCTTGTTTGGTGTCGTCTGAAACGATTCTCAATGCATGAATGAAGCTATTGAAATTTCTTTCTGTATTTATGTAGAAAATAACATTTGATGCAAAAATAACTGCACAAATGTCCACCCCTATCTCTCTTTGATAAAAGGGTGTTGAAAGAAATGTTCTTTTATCAGAAGATAGAGCTTTCTTTACTCTTTCTAATTGTATATAAGTCATTTTTATAACACGTACATTAATGAAACAGTGTGTCAGAAAAGACAAGCACCCTTAAAAAGTATCTGGACTTCTTGTACAAAAGAATTCCCCACAATGTCGGCTCTTATCTCCCTTCGATAAATACGGTCTGAAAAGAATATTTTTTTATTAGTGGATGGGAAATGTTCTCCTCTATCCAACAATGTATGACTTATATTTGCCAGACATTCCTATGTGCAATGAAAGGAGAAAAATTGGCAGAATAAATTTGTTATTTTTAGATGTACTCGTCAAAAACATCTTGTTAGATAACAATTCATTCGATTTTTATGTACTCATTTAAAAACCCTTATAAAACAACAATTAACAACAGTTAACTATCGTCTAAAAGATGTTTTAGACTAAATTCATATAAAAGTCTAAAATTTATTACGCCAGTATTTTCTTTTCTTTTGGTATCGTTTCGCTCATGAATCTGTGACAATTATGAATCATACACTGTTCAATGGAGGAGAAAATTTCCTACCAACTGTTAAAAGAAAATTATTTTCAGAACCTATTTATCTAAGAGTTACAGGAATCAATATTTTGTACCATTTTTCTGCATGTCACAAAAAGTGCGGATTTGTTTTTAAGGGTGCTTCGCGTTTTTGTTATGCTGTTTCATTTATGAACGTGTTATTAAAAAATAGGTTGTATGGGATTCGAAAGAGAAGGAAAAGGTCTTTTTCAGCTAAAGAAAACATTTCTCTCAGCATCCTTTTATCTAAGAGAAATGAGGGTTGACATTTGTGCAATTACTTAGGCATCATACATTATTTCAGATCATGAATGTTTTTTTGTACACATACAAAGAGGGATAAAGATTACAAGAGAAGATACTTTTCTCACATATGACACAATACATTTACAAGCAACGAACAAGATGAATTATACTGGGTTTGATAGAAAATACGTTGTTTTTGTTTCTCCTAAGAGAATGGCGGTATAACTCATTTGAATAGGAAAATCGAATTGATTTCTTTTTTCTCTATCTGAAATAGGTATTCCACACAAAATAACCTGCTCTCATCTATAAAAATTTCCTACACAAGCCAAAATGGTACGTGATCACTCGAAAGAATAACTTATCGTGCTGAGTCGAAAGATGATATTTGTTGGTAGTGCCAATCCATCTGACAATTTTATCTTAATATTTTTGAAATTTTACAATCAGTCTGCATCTGTAACGAAGAAGTCGACATTTCAGAAATATTGCGATAACAGTGTTCGAACAGTTCGAACATAAAAACAAATATCACCAATCGACTCAGCATGATGAACAACTCATCCAGGTGAGCACACATCGATTAGTTAAGATCAGAAGTCTTATAACTCTCGAACGCAACAAACTAAGAATGTTGGTCTTCTGTAGATCGAAAGAGAAATAACTTCAAAACATTGTTGTTTTTGAAAATCTTCACTAAAAAGTCAAGTGTTTGATTAATATCTGACCAATCATATTTCAATGGTCTAGAATCCTTCTCTCTTGAAAAGTGAAAACCGCAGCTCTCTAGCTCTTTTTATTATTCAGCTATTGCAAAAGGTTTGGACGTGGGTGTGGGTATGAAGTTTCGTCTTCATTCAATCAACAATCACACACACTTCACAACTACACTCACACCTTTATCAAGATCTTTCGGTTGTATCATGGAATGAAAGTTTTTAAATTTTTGATCAAATTGAACAAAAAACAATATCTTTAACGTTTAGAAGTAACAACTTTTTATAGAGTACTTTTTTTATTCTAAAATACCAATGAGATTTTGTGGCAAGCAATGAAAACTGAGTGCTGTCATTTTTTTGCAGAGAACTTCACATAGTCACTGTCAATATGTTTGTATTTAGAGGTGTTAACCGATCATTTGATCGGCGGCGGCGGCGGAAAATTTTTAAGGCATCAGCGGCGGCGGCGAGGAGCTCTCGCCGAGGAGGTCATTTTCGGCGGCGGCGGCGACGACAAAATTTTTCTTATGTTATTTCACAGGGTCTTTCGTAGATCCCTACCGTTGAGACAAGCATTAGGCGTTCTGTTCTCATAGAATTATAACGCTGTTTTCTTCTTAGTACGCTCATGTCTTTTAATGGAAAAATTTTTCCACTAGATGTAACTTTATTTTCATTAATTCAAAAAATTCACATTGTCTCATCATAAAATAACTTCAAACCACACAACAAGAACTCATGATATAAGCCAAAATGGCAATAATGTGACTATCCATCTAAAATAAAAATTAAATTCAAGCATGATAGCTTATGGCTGGTATTTTATCTTTACTTTACCAAATAAAGTAAAGTATTAGAACTTTACTTTACCCGATCAAGTAAAGTTAAATACTTTACTTTACCCGTTAAAATAAAGTTAAATACGTTACCTAAAAAGTAAAGTAAAGTAAAATGAAAAAAAATGAAGTTGTATGTTTTAAATTTTTTGGCAATTTCTTAGTTCAGGATCGTGTAGAAATAATCTTAGAACATATCAAAGTTTTTTCAATATCGTTTCGTCTTAAAATTAGTGTGAAAAAAAAAATAAGTAAAGCCGAAAAATATCGATTTTTTATGGATACATAAAAAATATTGTTTGGTTAACTTTATTTCACTTTATTTTCCACATTCGAACTATAGTATTTTACTTTACTCTACTTTACTTTACTTTACTTTTTCAAAGTAAAATAAAGATAATGTGCCATCCCTATGCTAGCTCGAATTAGATCATAAGTGAAACTAACATTGAAATTAAAATTTGAATCCAAATTCAACTCGATACTTTTCTGTGAATGAAGAAAAAGAGCAAGATTTGTTTTCATTGATTATTTGAATTCAAATTGAAACTAAATTGTTTTCTTTTTTCTAAACTGGTAGGAGAGTGTCGATTGGAATTCGAATTCGAATCGCAATGTTAGTTACATCTATATTCGAACTCAAACTAGACAGTTAGTCGAAACTGCATACTGAATAAGTCAAAAATCGCGAAACGAAGAAAATAATAGCGATGAATCTATTGTGCATAAAGGAATAATGCAAATGAAAACCTAATAAATATGGTAGCGTCACAAAATCACAAGGAGACATATTTTCTTATCAGCTCGGTTTTCAGACCATATGTCATCCAAGAAAAAATACACTAATTCCTATTTTTCAAAAGTTCTGTTGGTTTCAGCAATCTCTAATTGTCACATAGATCAAACTTGAGATATTACTGATTATTATCAACAAGTGATAATCTAGAAAAGAGGAAGCTTGAACTGTGACCCTTCACTCGAACGGCGGCGGCGGCGAAACAGTTCCCGCCGAGACGTTCTATTCGGCGGCGGCGGCGAAAAATCGGCGGCTAACACCTCTATTTGTATTAATGTAGAGTGTGAGTGTGATTGTCACTGTAGCTATGGGTGACGAAGAAACGTAAAAACATATACGTCTACATTCATCTTAAAATTGTACAACTTAATGTAAAAGTAAATATGAACTGACGAATGAGACAGTAAAACTCTGAAAACGTTTTCTGATATAAAAAGTTATTAAATAAATATTAATTATCAATTCATTTTTATAATTTAATTTAAAATGATTGAGAATTCTTATTCTTATTTTTTTTTTCACTCTGAGAAAAATATTTTATCATGTCTGGGTATTTTTATGCATCACTGGGCTTTTTCCCAGTCGTTCATACTCTATTAAAGCAAGAAATATTTCATCAAAGATTTTCATTTTCTCTTTTCACAACACAACACAAATGTTATTCATAAAGTTTCTTATTAAAATCTTTCTGAATCTATGGAATTTTATTCAACAAAATTTTTTCTATCAATCACACAATAAACAACCAATCCCATTAAGTGTTAATTATCATTTAACACGTGCATGCAATTATCGTTGTAAATTTTGTTTTCATACAAATCTCACTAATGATCGTCTTCCATTAGATGAAGCTAAACGTGGTATTTCTTTATTACAACAAGCTGGTACAAAAAAAATTAATTTTTCTGGTGGTGAACCATTTTTAATTGAACATGGCTATTATGTTGGTGAATTAACACGTTTTGCTAAAGAAAAATGTCATATGGCAACAAGTATTGTTTCAAATGGAAGTTTAATAACAGAAAAATGGTTTGAAACATATTCAAAATATTTAGATATACTTGCTATATCATGTGATTCATTTGATATTGAATGTAATCGACAAGCAGGACGAACAAATGGTCATATAAATCATTCACAAATTTTACATGTACGTCGTGTAAGACATTTATGTCAACAATATAATGTTATATTTAAAATAAATTCTGTTATACATATACTTAATTATCAAGAAGATATGACATGTGCAATTGAAGAACTTGAACCAATACGATGGAAAGTTTTTCAATGTTTACTTATTCATGGTGAAAATATGGGTGGAGAAAAAGAATTACGTGATGCACGACAATTGATTATAACTGATAAACAATTTCAAGAATTTTGTCAACGTCATCAACATTTAAAATGTTTTGTACCAGAATCAAATTTAGCTATGAGAAATTCATATTTAATACTTGATGAAAATATGAGATTTCTTGATTGTACAAATGGACGTAAAGATCCATCACCATCTATACTTGATGTTGGTGTTCAAGCAGCATTAAATCGAAGTGGTTTTGATGAAGAAATGTTTTTTAAACGTGGTGGTCAATATAAATGGACAAAAGATACTGTAGATTTAAATGATTGGTAATCATTCTCATAATAAAAACTCTATTATTAATCATGTTTATTAGAAAATAAACATTTCAAAAAAAAACAAAGTGTGTTGTAAATAAAATACTCTAATCACTCAAAATAAAGAAATAATCTTTTTTTATTCATTTCACTTTAAATATTTATATATTCAAAGAAATTATCTATTATATAATTCATTTCATAGTGTAGTAGTACGAGACTATAGATATTTGACAGAGCGTCAATGTTTTTCCCACAGAATGCAAAAAAAAAAGATTTTTGATACTTCTGGGAAAAAAGAACGACAAATTTCTTTGATTACAAGATGATATTACACTTTCCTAAATAATATTAAAAAATCGAACCATCAAATAATTCCAAAACTTTTTTTTTTCCTATACATATGCTCTTACAATGAAAAAAAAGATCATTTTTGTTCATTATGTTTTCGATGTTTGTTACCAATCTTATTGTACTTAAGTTTGTTTGATTAACAAGTTGATTATATTTATTTATCACTTAATTTAATAACAAACGATCTAAAAATAAAAGTCATATATTCTTATTGTAGAAAATAATTTCTTATTAACTTACGAAGGAAAATCAGGTACATTAGAAAGAAAATATTCAAAAATTTCAGCAGTAATTTTTTTATCACCTCGAAGATCAACTTCATTAATAACCTAAAATATAAAATTAAACTTTTTTTTTTTTTTTCAGTTTTTGCCAAAACGAAAAACAAACTGCTTCGGCAATTTTTGTTAAATCTTGATCATTAAAATGTTTTCCTGATAAACGCTGAATAATTTCTTTTATATCATATAAATCAATTGCATTTGATGTTGATGTTTGATTATCTTAAAAAACAACGATCAATAAAAATTATTTAATAAATATAATATTACTTGGTCGATTTTTTGTATTAATTCCTTCTGAAAAAGAAAAAATATTCAACAAATCGAAAAATATTAAAATGAATATTTACGATAAATTTTAAATGCATAAGAAACTTTAACAGATTTTGGTGCATGTTCAGAAAAAACACTCATCATATCAAGAAAATCTTCAAATGTTAATGAACCATCTTGTTGAGAAGAAAATACTTCAACAATTCGTTCACGAAATGGATTTTCCTATACAAAATAAAACATAAATTTTATTGTTCAAAAAAAAATTATCTTACACGAAGTTCAGGAAGTTTTATAGCGTCTTTTTTCGATAAACGTCGTTCAGAAATTTTATCACGTTGATTTTTTATTAATGTAATATGATTAAATCTTTTGAGAACTCTAGAAAATCAGAAAAATAATTTAATTAACAAAAACAAAAGTTAATATCTTACTGCAAAATTTCCTGACGATTTAAAAACGTTAATGTCTATTTAAAAAAAAAAATAACTTTGTACGTTTATAAATTTCGTTCAAATCTACTTGATAATCATGTAAATCTTCATCGCTTAAAAGAGATTGCTTGCCACCCATATTCTTATCAGATAGGAAATAATTGAAAGTCAGCAACAAAATTTCAAGTATCTGCAAACATAAAACATGGTTGGTTGTTCTTAATACTCTTATCTTAACAAATAATAATATCAAACATAAAGCGACATTTCAATATAAAATTACATATAGTTTGTAGAAATCTCTAATAAGTTCTAAGATTAGACATAGTGAACGAACAATAATAAGGTCGTCACTTTAATGTATGTTCTTATTTTGCTTGAATGAAAAATTTCTTCGTACGAATATTTCATTGTTTTTTTTCTCTATGAAAAAAAACGATATACATATTCGATCAAGTACATTCTTAAAATATGATTTAATAATAAGTCTTATATTGACTTATTTACTATTTATTATACAATAAAATTCATTTTGATAGAATTTTCAAAGTTCATGTTTTATTAGATTAATTGAGTGCTTACAAGTAAGTCTTGCGGTGACAACACTAGTCAAAGTGTCAAGATGGATTCGTTTCAATGAGTATTTGAACATAAAACAAACGATTGAATTAGAGAAAATACTATCACTTTAACTAAATATAATTCCAGTATATCATAATAACTAAGACTGTTCGACTATGAATCATTCAACAGTAGTCAGCTTTCAACAAAGTTTCATTACATATCCTCTATGAACGAAAATCTACTTGATTCCATCTATAATCAGTCATCACACGAATTTTTACAAAGAATTCATATTGTTTGAGAGATGTTCTCTATCGATACAAAAAAACATTCTATGTTGGTGTATAGTGTCAGTAGAGATTAAAAGATGCCTTTTTTTTTGGTTCTAGCAATTATAAGTAGATGTACTTTGCACTGATGACATCTATATGATATCTTGAAGCAATGACTAAGTCAAATGTTGTAGTCAAGAACTGAAAAATAAACACATACTTATTATCATACACTCAATAGAAACATTGACATACTCGTGACAGAATGATAAAAACCGCTTCCGTCAAAATTAACAGAGAACAGCACAAACAACACGTTTTTCAGTCTAAAATACATGTTTATCAAAAAGCTTGTCCTTGGCACGAAATGTCTCGCATGCGATGATAAACTAAAATATTGCTACTACACTATGAATGAAAAGCATAAAAATCTGCTGATCATATGTGAGTCGTCCAAGATGTAAAACTATATTAAGACCACGTGTTTGATTTTGATATTATTTAAACATGCAACTCAACTTATCATTTACATCTTTGTAAAAAAAAATAAAATAATAATTGGTATTAAAGAGTCTTTTATGCAAATGTTAATGTTTGTATAATTTATACAAACTCATTATAAACAATGCCTCATTTCCAAACTTAATTTTCATTAATTAAAAATAAAAGACTGTTATCAATACTCTTCAATAATACTATTGACTGAATAGTTGGTTTTCATTCAACCATAGGTCATATAGTGCATATCTCATAATAGAACCAAATCGAACTACGTAAAAAACACGGAGTGTCGTATCAATGACTAAGACAAGAATAAGAAAAAAAAAACCTGCTTTTATTGCATTATATATTTGAATATCGGTTGAATTATTTAATATCATGAAGTTAATAAGAGATCTTTTCAAGGTATTAGTTTTATTCAAAATGTATTTAATATATTTAATCATTTTTTAGTCTCATGATTCAATTATACTTTTTCGTCGATCATTTTCGATTACATCTCGAGCTTTTGCAGAAAAGACTGTATGTCATTTTTTGATTTTTTTTCTTCTTTTTATTGTTAAATTTATTCAGATTACAATTCGTGAAACTATAATTAAAGCAATGGATGAAGAAATCGAACGTGATGAACGAGTTTTTTTAATTGGTGAAGAAGTAGCAGAATATGATGGTGCTTATAAATTATCCAAAGGTCTTTGGAAAAAATATGGTGATAAACGTATTATTGATACACCAATTACTGAAATGGGTTTTGCGATTGATATTAAATAATTATTCAGGTCAAAGTACCAATCGTTTTTCGTGGACCCAATGGAGCAGCTGCCGGTAAATAATTACTTTCTTTTTTTTTTATTGACATTGATAAACATAGATATAATCTCGATGTATAAAAAAAAACATGAATCAATTTGATTATTTGTATGTCTCATTTTCAAAACTATTTGAAGCGAAAAAATTATTTTGTTTTATTGATTTATCAAATAGAAAAAGATAATTGATGAACTTTGTGAAACACAATGTAAAAGATCTATATTACTTTCTCATTACATTTTTGAAGGATTATGATGAAGAAATGTATCCTTGAATAGAATAATCTTCTTGTGATTTATTTGTGCTAATAGTTTATTTTTGTTAAGGTGTAGCTGCACAACATTCTCAAGATTATTCTACTTGGTATAGTCAATGTCCTGGTTTGAAAGTTATATCACCTTATTCAGCTGAAGATTGTCGAGGTTTACTTAAAGCTGCGATTCGTGATGATGATCCAGGTTGAGTTATTATTACAATTATTGTTTTGATTTAATTGTTCTTGTTCTTTTTTTTGCTTTGTTGTAAATGTAGTTGTTTTTCTGGAAAATGAATTACTTTATGGTCAACAATTTCCAATATCTGATGAAACATTATCATCTGATTTTATTTTACCTATTGGTAAAGGAAAAATTGAACGTCAAGGAAAACATATAACATTAGTTTCTCATTCAATTGGTCTTAAAATATGTTTGGAAGCTGCACATGAATTAGAACAAAATGAAATTGATTGTGAAGTTTGTTAAATTTCTTTTCTTTTTTTTTGTCAATGTCATTTTATTTTATTAGAAATATTATAGATTATTAATCTACGAACATTAAGACCACTTGATGAAGAAATAATAAAAACATCGATTAAAAAAACTCATCATCTAGTTTCTGTTGAATTTGGTTGGCCACATTGTGGTATTGGAAGTGAATTAATTGCTAGAATATGTGAAAGTAAGTTTAAACAAATCAAAAGATTAAAGTTATTGTATCTATTGTTTTTGTTCAGGTGATGCTTTTGATTATCTTGATGCACCACCTTTACGTGTTGCTGGCGCTGATGTTCCACTTTCATATGCAATAACTCTTGAAAAAAATTCTCTACCACAAGCTTCTAATGTTATTAAAACAGTCAAACATGTTTTGAACAAATAGAAGTAAATAAACTTTGCAAAAAAAAAAAAAATTTTTTTATAAATTTATACCAGAATACAAAAAATAAAAATATCTGTTTTGTTATTGATTATGTTGAAAATGTTTTCGAAAAATCAAAAGCTATGGATTATGATTAAACTTTTATACTCTTTCCCAATGTAGACTTAGAAATCTTGAAAACCATAGATCAGTTGAATATAAAATTTTGGAAAGTGTCCGTTCGTCAAAAAAATCGATTAAAATAATTAAAAACAAAGTTTTTCACTTGTCTGAGATATTTTCAAGCAGATCAAAAAAGAGTTAATCATTTGCATTAGAAATTTCGACTCACAGTTCTCATCCAAACTCATTTTTTTGGCCTGTTAAAAGATTACCTTTCTACATTAGAGCGAAAACCGAAATAACATGTCTAATATCATATTAAGATAGTGCCTAGTTTTTGACTATTTGGAAACATTTTTAAGGGAGAAAAAAGTTAAAAAAAAGGATTTTATTTATAAATTTTCGACCTATCCCACTTGTTGGTTTTGTCTAATATATATAAATATAATTGTGAATGGTATTTTCTTAAATTCTACAATAGCAATAATGAATAAGTGTGCAAAAAAACCTTGAATATTAGCAATATCATAATATTACTCACAAGTGATACGCTTTGGCGCTGATGATGACTATCCGAAATAGAAAACAAAAGGTTGACAATGCAAGAATGATTGTAAAATTATATATTAAATCGCATTATTATGATTAATTGTTTAAAATCATATTGCTTTTATTCAAGTTTTCTTTTAAACATTAACAATATTAAGTAAATGACTACAGGATGAAAATTTTTCTTACAATAAAACTAATATCAATGCAAATGATATTGCATCTGTTACGATTTGAATAATAACATATAAATGCTCAAAACTGTAGTTGAAAATAGTTCTTGATTATAAGTATCATCAAGATAAAATCATATGAAAATCGATGATGATATGCACAAATGATATTTTCTGCTTTCCAACAATAAACAATATCAACTTCTTTTTAATCAAAGGTAAAAGTCAACGTATGTTGATACGAAAGTGACGAGATATTAAACCAAACACTGCTGCTGTTGTTGTCTAATATTATCGTTTTTTCTTTTTTAAATATGCACGATTAATCTATCCTTTTTTCTTTTAAAGATGTGTCGCATGACTGTCTATACCATAACTCAACAGACATAATATGATTGTTATCTCCTTCTGCACATGAGATATAATTAAATATGGTTCTCATTATATAGATTGTTATCGCTTATGAGACTAAAAATAAATGACAACTGCACAGAATAAAGAGATAGACACATGAGAGATTGTTGAAAATGATAGGATTTTTTGATTGACTTAAATGACTTTATTGTGTCTTGTTAAAAATAAGACTAGCTAAATAACATTCTTTAAAGTTATAATTAAATAATTCTTTTTTGTATAAATTTAATTAATAATATGATTTGATTAATGATGACAAGTATTCAATAAGTATTGTATAATCATGTACGAAGAACATTCAGAACAATAAGAAAAGAAGAATTGAGACTCTTGAGAAGAGTTTTAAATTCATTTAAAGATCTGAATATTCTTTTCTTTGAAAAAATAATTAAGCGAATATCAATCATTATTATTTCATCTCTACAATAGAAATTAATTACATTGAAATCAATATACAATATTTGATCTAAAAATAAGTTTTTATTTTGTTATATTAATTGATGTCTTAATTAGTATTCTATCATTTCAATCTTTCTTAAGAATATTTTTTTATATTGATGATTATTTTGATTCTACTTTTGATAATCTACTTGCATTCTCTTCTTCCTTTTTTTTGTGTTTGTATGTCGAATGATTACAATCATTGCTTCTATATTATGATTCTCCTTTATCTTCTTATCAATATAATTTATATTTCATGCACTGATTGCAATAATCCCTACAGGCATCTATATTATAATTGTTTTCTTTTTTTTTGCATATATGACTAGCGACATTTTATATCAAACTGTTGTATGGCGACATGTTCATAATGATTCTTATTGGTTCATTGTCATTGACAAATGTATATATATATAAATGAATTGATCTTTATGTAATTTTTTTTGTTTCATTTTAAATTATATTGAAAAAAAAAAAAATTTTAAAATGCCATATGCAAATCAACCAATTGTTCATGTAACTGATTTAACTGACGAGAATATAAAATTTATTATTGAAAATACTGATTTAAGTGTAGCTAATGCAATACGTCGTTGTATGATTGCTGAAACACCAACTATAGCAATTGATTCCGTACAAATTGATTCAAATACAACTGTTTTATTTGATGAATTTCTTGCACATCGTATTGGTTTAATTCCATTATATAGTGAAGAACTTGTTGATAAAATGAATTATCATCGAGATTGTTCATGTGAAGGTTTTTGTCCACAATGTTCCGTTGAATTTACACTTAATGTACGTAATAAAGAAGAACAAACAAGAAATGTAAGATTCAATAGAAAGAAAAAAGCGAAGATTGATTTTATTTTATATCAAATATGTTTTAGGTTACATCAGCTGATCTTATGACAAGTAATCCACATTTAGTACCCGTCACTTCAAAAGCAAAAAATGATGACGAAGGACAAGATCATTTTATTGAACGTAAGATACTGATTTTCTTCTTTTTTTTCATCGTTATTATTGAAAGAATAGTTTATTTGAAAAAAAAAAGGGTTTTCTTTTCTACATAAATTAATGAGAAACATTTATTGAAGATTAAACTTTTGTAATGATATTCAGTTGAAGAACTGAGTTTGATTAGTAGATGAAGAGAAACTAAAACAAATCGTAAAATGAATGATGATGAAAATAAGAGAGTGGAATGATGATAAGCAGATAGCGAAGAGAATAAAGGAAGATAGAAAAACGATATAATAGCATGTAAAGAATGACGCAAAATGAAGATAGTGGAATAATCAAGAATAAGGCAATAAAAGAAGCCAAAGAAATTAAATGTATAGCTTCTCTCTTGAAGAGCAAAGGACAAATCTTCCAGTTATCGCTCATCATATTATTCATCTATATAAAAACTCAATATTGTGATACATCTAAAACTAAGCTACGATATGAAATATATCACGTATCTTTTGTTTATTAGACAGTGGTATTATTATTTCATAGAAAATAATGTATTTACCCTTCTATTAAGAATAGTTTCATGATAATGAAAATATTTCAAAAACATAAGTCAATTATTTCGTTTTCAGAACAAGTTTGTAAAATACTTTCTTTTTTTTTCTCCTGCATTCTATAGATATTCTCATTGTTAAACTTCGACAAGGTCAAGAACTTCGTTTAAAAGCTCATGCACGAAAAGGTTTTGGTAAAGAACATGCCAAATGGATTCCAACTTGTGTAAGTTTTGCTTTTAATTAATAAAACTAAGAAATTCTTTTTCTTTTTCAGGGTGTTGCATTTGAATATGATCCTGATAATGCACTTCGTCATACTATTTATCCAGTACCAGACGAATGGCCACATTCTGAACATAGTGGTAAATAGAATATTTTCTAATTAGAAAAGCAAAATAATTATTAAGAAAAAAAAACAAAAATTTAGAATTACCTGAACATGAACATGAAGCACCATTTGATCCAAATAAAGTTGCAAATAAATTCTATTTCAATGTCGAATCTACTGGTGCATTAAAACCTGAAACAGTATGTATATATGATTGATATTAAAATAATTGATTTTTATTTTATCTATTAGATTGTCTTATCTTGTTTGGGTGTTCTTAAACAAAAATTGAGTAATTTACAAACATTACTTAAACATGAAACATCAGAAGGAATGTAAAAAAAAAAAAAAAGACATAATAAATATATTTTTTTGTTTAGAAAAAATTATAATACAAAATTTTTTATTGTATATCCTTTCATATCTTTATTAATATTCTAGATTTTGTATTTATAAAATAAAATATGTTAATAAGAATAGTTTATGTATTGATCGATAAATTATATTATACATGATGTTATTAAAAGGTTAAATTGAATTTTGTTTTTTTTTTTGGTAATCAATTACAAATGTCCGATCGAAAATCGAAAGGATCATCATCATCTGTTCATCGATCAATATCTTTAAATGAACATGAACAAATTAGTAATAGAAAACGAGAAAACGATGATCAACCATATACAAAATTGTCATCGAATCCAGGTATGAAAATTTGTAATGCATCAATTAGAGTTGGTGTAAGAGAAAATGATTAGATGTTATGAATACAAATATCTTTTTTCAATCGATATAAAGATCAAATGACAAAATTAATTGTCGATATCAAGGAATTTCATCGCTATCATAAGCATGCAAAATATGATAATCATTTGAAGTAGGCATGCACCCAACTCGTAATTTTGGCTTGATGTTTAGATTCAGAAATTATCCAACCAGTTGAGACGATGTTACGTATTTGGGTAATCGCTCAAGCATTTCAACTATCTTGTCTGAGTAACTACATTGTGATTACTTAGTATACAATTGTAGAGAAGATATCGAATTATTGAATCTGCTGCTAGATAGGGATATTCTTTTCAGGCGTTTCTAGAACTCAAGTTTGAGTTTAAGTATTTCTGAACGTTGTTTAATTTTTAGGATGTCTGAAATCTTTTGATTTTTGGATTATTCATTCCACTATGTGTAGGTCTACCATAACTAAGCCTGAAATTCTTTCGTGTGGCTTAATTCTGCTTTCTTTTATTCATTAACTAAAAATAACCGAGCTTTCAGATTCTGTGCTTGTCTGATTCGGATGTATGTAATCTAATACTATTAGTGATCATTTTTTTTTGTATTTCGATCTTATCTTCATACTGAAAATTAGGCAAAATAAAAACTTAAAGTCAAAAATAGAGGTGTTCACCTATCGGCTGAGTCGCCGCCAACGCTCAAGCTATTCAGCCATGTTGCCACCACCATGATATAAAAATAGGTATTTGATTTTAATAAAATTCCTGAAGTCCTAATTCAGCTTTTGCAGATGTTAATGTCTGATTTCTTGTTAGTAAATTCTCTATCATTGTTTTTCCTATTTTTCATTTCAAAATTTCTAGCTGCCATCGCTGATCAAT